CTGGGAGGCTGAGGCAAGAGAATAGCGTAAGCCCAGGAGTTTGAGGTTGCTGTGAGCTACGACACCAGAGCACTCTACTTAGGGCAATGTGGTGAAACTGTCTGAAAAAAAGGAAGGCTTTTCTTATTACTCTGTCCACTGAGATGGTAAATTTTTAAAAAAAGAAAAGAAAAAGGCTTTCCTGCTATTCTGCTTGGGGCAGTGGACAGGGAGCAAGTGGCCCAATTTACCTTCCCAGGGAGGGTGCAGGGCAGGTAGCACAGGTAGATAATGATGAGCACGTGCTTCTCTTCATGGTCTAGAACAATCACCACGAGGAGAACATCTCTTCAAAGATGAAGGGCCTGAATGGAAAGGTGTCAGACCTGGAGAAGGCCGCAGCCCAGAGGAAGGCAAAGCTGGATGAGAACTCTGCCTTCCTTCAGTTCAACTGGAAGGCTGACGTGGTGGAGTCCTGGATCGGTGAGTGCTGAGGGCCCCGGGTTTCTCGCTCTCCCAAACTAGAAAGATTGTTTCTATAGCCACACCTTATCTGCTTCTCATGCAGCTGGGTTTTTTTCTAAAGGGAAGAAACAGATTAAATGTGGGCATTTTCAGAGAAACTACCATCAGGGCAGGCCAGCTAGGAAGGGACAGTGTCCTGACACCATGGCCTGGCTCTGGGCTGACACCAGCGTTATCAACACAAAAACCTATAAGTCGTCATTCTTCCTTTTTTCTTTCTTTGGGATGCCACATCCCTGCTATTTGCTTTCTGCCCTTTTTTTTCTCTCTCTCCTCCACTCTGTCTTCCCTTCTCTTACTCTCTTTCTGAAATATAAACTTTTATATACTTAAAAAAAAAAAGGCTCAGTGGTTAGGGTGACAGCCACATACAACTGAAGGTGATGGGTTCAAGCCCAGGCCGGGCCTGCCAAACAATAAAGACAACTACAACCAAAAAATAGCCAGGCATTGTGGTGGGTGCCTGTAGTTAGTCCCATCTACTTGGGAGGCTGAGGTAAGAGAACCGCTCACTTGAGTCCAAGAGTTGGAGGTTGCTGTAAGTTGTGACATCACAGCACATTACTAAGGGCGACATAGTGAAACTGTCTCAAAAAAGGGAGGAGCCTCGGGGAAGTAGTTACCATGTCAGCCACATACAACCGAGGAGACTGGTGGGTTCAAACCTAGCCCTAGCAAGTTAAACAACAATGACAACTGCTACAAAAAATAGCTGGGCATTTTGGTGGGCGCCTGTAGTCTCAGCTACTTGGGAGGCTAAGGCAAAAAATCATTTAATCCCAAGAGTTTGAGGTTGCAGTGAGCTATGATGCCACGGCACTCTCCCAAGAGTGACATAATAAGACACTGTCTCAAAAAAAAAAAAAAAAGCCTATAAACCTGAACTGAGCCGTAGACAGCATAACATGAACAAAATGGGCCCAGAGATGCCAGAACTATCCTTCCAGCTTCATTTAGCTTCTGAATGAGGGAGAGCTAGAAGCCAATATCAGGACACACATGTCCTGGGTAGTTGCTGTCACATAAGTAGCAGCTGAACTACATCTAGGACAGGCCAAAAAGACTGTTTATGGTACAGTTGCAGGCTGGGGATCTGGGGATGCAGGGAGGGGCAACTAATGTGAGCTCAGAGACTGCTGTGAGTAATATTGGAATTTAAATGTAAACAAAATAGGCTGGGCGTGGTGGCTCACGCCTGAAATCCTAGCACTCTGGGAGGCTGAGGCAGGTGGATTGCCAGTGCTTATGGGCTCAAGACCAGCCTGAGCCAGAGCCAGACCCTGTCTCTAAAATTAAAGAGGCACTGTGGCGGGTGCCTATAGTCCCAGCTACTCAGGAGGCTTAGGCAAGAGAATTGCTTAAGCCCAAGAGTTTGAGGTTGCTGTGAGCTATGATGCAACAGCGCTTTACTGAGGGCAACAAAGTAAGACTGTCTCAAAAAAATAAAATAAATATAAACAAAATAACGGTTTTCATTGGAGTTTTTCTTTTTAATCCCTCTCACTACACTGAGACAAGTTATAGTATATTTTCCACACCTGGTTTTCTAGGTGAAAAGGAGAACAGCTTGAAGACAGACGATTATGGCCGAGACCTGTCTTCTGTCCAGACGCTCCTCACCAAACAGGTTGGTGTGGCCAATTTGTCAAGTGATTGAAATTTATGCAAAAAGCATTTCCTGGTAGATGCTAATGAGGGGTCAGCGCCTTTCACTGAAGCATTTGACTATCTTATGTCAGGCCCTGGGGATTCAGCAGCGAACAGAATCCTGTCCTGATCCCCAGGGAGCTTCCATACTAACCGGGGAAGCAAACACATCACCTGCCACATGCACACACTGCAGGGGCTACCTCACTCGGATTTCAGCAGGTGGATTGGGGCAAGCCTTACTGAGGCTTGAGGATTAAATTATGAAGTGTTAGCTGAAAGAGGTCAGAGTTAGCCTGGCATGATGGCACACACCTGTACTCCAGCTATTTGGGAGGCTGAAGTGGGAGGATCCCTTAGTCCAGGAGTTCAAGGCTGCAGTGAGCTATGATTGTACCACTGCACTCCAGTCTGGGCAATAGACCAAGACCCTATCTGAAAAAAAGAAAGAGAAAAGAAGTCAGAAGAAAAGCAGGGTGAGTGTTCCAGGCAGAGGTGCTGGAGAGGAACATATTCCCTGCTAGAAGCAGGAAACCAGAGGAGACCACCACAATAATCTGTGGTCTGAAGGAAGGCAAGAATGTGGGCAGATACGACTGAGCATTGGCAGAAGGGGAGGACTTTAGGCTGACAGCCTGGCTTAGGCATCTGAAGGGACAGGTATTGGCCCTTCTGCACTGAGGCACCCAGAAAGAGCAAGTTACATAGTCTCACTGCAGCCACCATACATTGGCTTGTTGCTCTTTTTTCCAGGAAACCTTCGATGCCGGCCTGCAGGCCTTCCAGCAGGAAGGCATTGCCAACATCACGGCCCTTAAAGATCAGCTGCTGGCCGCCAAGCACATTCAGTCCAAAGCCATTGAGGCCCGGCATGCCTCCCTCATGAAAAGATGGAGCCAGCTTCTGGCCAATTCTGCAACCCGGAAGAAGAAGTTGCTGGAGGCTCAGAGTCATTTCCGAAAGGTGAGGACAGGCAGGTGAAGCTCATCTGGGTCCATGCAAAGGGAGGCACCCCACCTTCCATCTGCCATGCTCTGCCACAATTCTGGTAGGAAGCTGGCTTCACACAGAGTTGCTGAATGTGGGCACAGAGTCACCAAGGCATGCAGAGAGCCTTGTAAGGCTCCACTCAGAAGCACCCAGGATTGTCTTGGCATTAGCCTATGCTGATTGGCAACAGGTACAAAGGGAAGATTTGAGAAGCAGAAGGGGAGATAGGCAGAGAGCAGAGTATGTGCCCAGTGTGCCCTGCATGCCTCTTTCCCTCCCTCCCCTGTCCACACGCCCCACTGCCCACCCTTCTGCCCAGGGAGCTGCACATCCAGCCCTGGGCAGCTCTCCTAGCTCCATCTCCTCTGCTTCTAGGTAGAGGACCTTTTCCTGACCTTTGCCAAGAAGGCTTCTGCCTTCAACAGCTGGTTTGAAAACGCAGAGGAAGACTTAACAGACCCAGTGCGCTGCAACTCCCTGGAGGAGATCAAAGCCTTGCGGGAGGCCCACGACGCCTTCCGCTCCTCCCTCAGCTCTGCCCAGGCAGACTTCAACCAGCTGGCTGAGCTGGACCGCCAGATTAAGAGTTTCCGTGTGGCCTCCAACCCCTACACCTGGTTCACCATGGAAGCCTTGGAGGAGACCTGGAGGAACCTGCAGAAAATCATCAAGGTGCCCCTCCCCTGCCCCCACTGCTGAGCACCTACCAGCCCGGGCTCCCGTCAGATCCTATTCTAAAACTTAGGAGCAGAAGGAGAAAACAGCATGGTTTTGTTTACCTAAAGTTTCCATGTATCAGACTAGATATTCCCTCCTTGACTGTGATCAGTCACTTCCCCTCCTAGTCTTGCCAGAGGCCCTAGCAGTGGAGGCAGAGAGACCTTCTGAGTATTCTGATCTGGCATAATGTCTAGACTCCCTCCCCTGCCATCCCAGAAGA